TATATATATATATATACTGTATATATATATTTTTTTACTTTTTAAATATTTTATTTATTTATTTTTTTGGTAACAATAATAACCCTGAAAATCTATTTCAGAAATTGTACAGGACTGGTTATTTTAGCATTTCCTTTGGTGCTTATACTGGCACAAAAATGACACTTTCCTTTAAGCGGGTCGACAGCACATCACATCCACTAATGTGATAAAAAAATGAAAGCACAGACTGATACAAGTCTAGATGAATGGTCCATATGACAAGTAGCTCACCCAATCGGTGGCCGTGTCACTGGCTTTGCATGGGCTAAAATCACATTTGCGGTGAAAAGCTTTATAACCGAGGCTCTTTGCAAAGCTGCTCAAAGCTCTTGCTGGCTCAAGCAAGTGATCTGTGTGTCATTAAAGAGCCACCAAAAGCTACTAGATGAACATTTGGATAAAGCTGGTACTGCCCTGCCCCAACACACTTCATCTTCCCTTATTTTGGCAATACGAGTCACGGGCTGAGGAGTGTTTCCTTTGGCACAGCGCTTGGAAACAATCAAACGAAAAGTCTGAACGGGATCAAATCTCGACATCCTCATTAGAGGACACTAAAGACATGGGAAACGCAGACCTTTTCTGTGCCCTCTTCTCTTCTCCTGACTATTAAACGTCACTTGGGACGGTGAAGAGACTTTCATCTGCACCACCAGGATAGAAAAGCAAACTGAGCACCCCTTCACTTCTTTTTCTTTCTTTCTCTCTTCCCTTGAGTTTTATCACATGGTTTCCGTTTGTCCACCCGCCCATCCCCTTCCTCAGCGGCGCTGATTCAGGCCCATGTTTTAACTCATCGTGATACACTAGATAGTGCACATCCTGTCCTGCTGTCCAGCCGACCTGCACCTTCACTGATAGAGTTACTGCAGGAAACAGAGGTGTGGTGGCTGAATGGACAGGTTTTAGTCTCCATAGATTTATTTACACAGGTTTGAAACAACATGAAAATGAGTCAATAATGACAGAATTCTTTTTTTTTTTTTTATGAACTTTCCCTTCAAACGTAAACATTTCGGCTTTTTTTTTGCCATTTTTACTGATATAAGCAATAGTAATCCTCATACTTTTATATAATGGTAGATTGGTTACAACAAAACAAACTATGGCTAACCACAAAAACCCAGTTTAAAACCACATAGATGCCTTTGCCATACAGTAGCTATACAGTACAAAATATCGTGTCTAGATGGTAACCCTCATGCTGCAGACCTCTTTCAAGACTCAAATGAGTTTATGTGAACATTTATTCTCTACAGTACAAAATAGTTCATGCATAGTTGTCAGTTATGACAAAAAATATTTGAGAAATGCTGTTAAATGTTACTGTTAACTAAATCTAAAACTATTAGAAAATTGTTTTTGTTTATTGAAACACAGCTGAAATCAAATAATATAAATATTAAATGCAAACTTAGAAATGTCGCCTTGAAATAAAATAAGCTGAAATACTGAAATAAAATAAATCAAATCTAAACAGAAATAGTAAAAAACTAACATAAATTACAAAAGACATAAAATTACAAAATTACCTTAGTACTTTAAAAAATACCTAAAGTAAAATTCAAATGAAAACTGAAAATATACAAATAAAAACTAATTTAAAATAATTACAATAAACTATAATAGTATAAAAAGTAAGAAAATAAGAGATGCTGTTACTAACACAAAAACTGCTTTGTGCTGGAGATTTAGGAGTATAAATAAAAGCATCTGTGAATCAAAGCTTGTGTGATGCTAAACAGAAATAGTAAAAAACTAACATAAATTACAAAAGACATAAAATTACAAAATTACCTTAGTACTTTAAAAATACCTAAAGTAAAATTCAAATGAAAACTGAAAATATACAAATAAAAACTAATTTAAAATAATTACAATAAACTATAATAGTATAAAAAGTAAGAAAATAAGAGATGCTGTTACTAACACAAAAACTGCTTTGTGCTGGAGATTTAGGAGTATAAATAAAAGCATCTGTGAATCAAAGCTTGTGTGATAAACCCTAGATTAACCATTTAGTGGCCCGAGTCCTGTGAAAGCCGTCACATTCATCAGCTGAGAGCCTCTCGTGTGCCAGTTGGCGTCCAGAGAGTGTTTTGTTACAGTAATACGCTTAAAGTCGTAAAATGAACAATATAAAGCTCAGAGTTGTGTAAGGAGCTGGTGTTCTCCTCAGGTCCCAGCTGGGATTAAAGCAGTACGTATATCAAATGAACTGTCCGACCGGTGACCCCCCACCCTGGGGAGCAGTAAAGTTCAGGGGACTGACGGAAAGACCTCAGGAACAGTCTATGTGCCACTTTCACTGGGCCACATGAGAACTGAGAACATGAATGACCTCTTGTTCTTCAATAAAACAAGATTGAGTGTGTACCAAACTTATTCATGATAATCAGCATACTAAAAATAATCACCAGACCAAATAAACAGTCCAGCAGTGATAACTGAGTGGAGTTTTTCTCGAGCAGTTCAACTTATCTTACATGAAAGTGCTTTACATGTAATTAAGTTCACTTGGCTGAATCCCTGATTTTAGTGACTGGCTGTTTACTAGTCATGTTAGTACAGCTCCTACCAACCTGAACAGGAAAAGATCGAACACTTCAGTTCTGCTTTACTTCAAAATTGGCATGCATGCATTTCTGGTTGGCTTGTTTGAATCTGAATTTGAACACACACACACACACTCATGCATACATACCGTAAATAAACAGTAAAAAAAAAAGAAGTTAAGAAGTTAACATCAGGTTTTTTGCTTTTATGTCCCTCATATTAATTTTTAATGTGGAATCTTATTTCATTTTGACATTTTTGTTGTTTATTTATGTTTATTTATTTTACTGTATTTTTATTTTTGTATTTCTTATGAAATTATTTATGATTATTATTATTTTAAGATATTTACATTACATTTACAATATGTGACCCTGGAGCACAAAAGCAGTCTTAAGTCGCTGGGGTATATTTTTCACAATAGCCAAAAAACATTGTATGGGTCAAAATTTTATTTTTCTTTTATGCCAAAAATCATTCAGATATTAAGTAAAGATCATGTTCCATGAAGATATTTTGTAAATTTATTACCGTAAATATATCAAAACTTAATTTTTGATTAGTAATATGCATTGCTAAGGACTTCATTTGGACAACTTTAAAGGCGATTTTCTCAGTATTTTGATTTTTTGCACCCTCAGATTCCAGATTTTTAAATAGTTATATCTCGGCCAGATATTGTCCTATATTTGAACAAACCATACATCAATGGAAAGCTTATTTATTCAGCTTTCAGATGATGTATAAATCTCAATTTCAAAAAATTGACCCTTATGACTGGTTTTGAGCTGCTTAGTAGGCTGCTTATGGAGTGTTTTGAAAACCAGACAATGACAAAAATTGGGACTCATGGCAATAGTGCAGGAGGCTTCCCACTCTGGTAAAATCACACAGAGGAGACACAACAGGAACCAGCACCTCCTGCACACAAGGAAGTAGTAGAGGTCAAATCTGAGCCTTGGCCTGTGTTTTACTAGCTTTTATCATCATTATTAATGCCTCCTTTCGCCTTCTGCTTCCTCCTTTCCCAGCCCCCCAGACTCCATGCTTTGCTCCATTATAAACTCCAGGGTCACATATATACATTAGTAGGCTGCTTATGGAGTGTTTTGAAAACCAGACAATGACAAAAATTGGGACTCATGGCAATAGTGCAGGAGTAGAAGACAGACTGGCTTCCCACTCTGGTAAAATCACACAGAGGAGACACAACAGGAACCAGCACCTCCTGCACACAAGGAAGTAGTAGAGGTCAAATCTGAGCCTTGGCCTGTGTTTTACTAGCTTTTATCATCATTATTAATGCCTCCTTTCGCCTTCTGCTTCCTCCTTTCCCAGCCCCCCAGACTCCATGCTTTGCTCCATTATAAACTGTATTTATAGAGCAGAAGAAAGCACGCCTCAGGTTTTTTAATTGGGTGGGTGGCATCTGAAGGGACCCCAAACAACTGTTCTTTACATGCCGCGGACACACATCGACAGACTCGAGCCAAGCAGGCCAGTCAGTCGCCACAGGGCTTCACTGTACGAGTCGCACGGCTGAAGTGGCATCTGTTTCCTTACATTGTTTCCATTTGGCACAGTAAAGCCTTTCACGGAAAGACTCGGCACTATACAACGGCCTCCCACAGGCAGATTCGCAAGTCATAATAGCACTTTTTACAACAGCTATAAAACGAAACGGTCAGAACCAATGGTCCCACTTCAGGCTACAGTGTTCATGTTACTGTGTATTAATATTAGTAATCATTCAACACTACTGAAAACTAGTATATGATTAATAAATAACTGGCTGCTGCATCTGTGCATGCCAAGTCAAGCACCTATATAATAAACAACATGTGCATAAACGGTAATTATTTTGGAGAGCGGCTAGTAATTAGTGGTGTTTTCATATATGTTTGATTTACAACTATTCTATTCAACCATTTAATATACATTTGAAACATAACATAGTACTTGATGATTGACATATTTATTTTCACTACTATACAAAAGTTTAGGGTCAGTGAGTATTTTTTATTAATTTTTTTTGCAAGAAAGTAATACTTTTATTCAGCGAGAATGCATTAAATTGATCAAAAGTGACAGTAAAGACATTTATATTGTTGCAAAAGATTTCTATTTCAAATAAATGCTGTTCTTTTAAACTTTCTATTTATCAAATAATCCTGAAAATAAACAATATATGGAAATAT